CTATCACCCCTACCTGTCACCCTGAAGCCCAAAGGGGTGAGGCAGGGCCTGTTGAGAACTGACCTGTCACCCCTACCTGTCACCCTGAAGCCCAAAGGGGTGAGGCAGGGCCTGTTGAGAACTGACCTGTCACCCCTACCTGTCACCCTGAAGCCCAAAGGGGTGAGGCAGGGCCTGTTGAAAACTGCCCTGTATCCAGGCCCCTGTATAGACAGTCCTAGCCATGATTCACACTATCTCCTCTGGCCAGTCCCAGCAGAGGTCTACTCTGAGCCACCAAAAACACGCAGAGGCCCAGCCGAGCGGTGGTGGCGCACGCCTTTAATTCCAGCACTCGGGAGGCAGAGGCGGGCGGATCTCTGTGAGTTCGAGGCCAGCCTGGTCTCCAGAGCAAGTGCCAGGATAGGCTCCAAAGCTACACACAGAGAAATCTTGTCTCGGGGAAAAAAAAAAAAAAAAAACCACAGAGGCCCAGGACGCTAGTGTATGTACGCACACTCCTCACCCATACACTGACTCACCCCAAGTCCTGCCAAAAACACTTCTGTGAAGTGGAGGAGCAAACAGGCATGACTGAGACCTCAGACAAGGGGGGGGAGGGGCTTCATCCCCTCCTTGCCCACTCTAGCCCTGCCAGGTATTCCCCCAAGGGGTTTCATCACTCTGTCCTACAGATTGGCGCGGACTGAGAACAGTAGACAGGCAAGGAAAGGGACACTCAGGCGCGGACTGAGAACAGTAGACAGGCAAGGAAAGGGACACTCAGAGCCAGGTTCTCATCACTCCCAGGCCCATGTTCCTCAGCTACACTCTTTCCAGGCAGTCACAGGGACAAACCCTGCTTTGTCCATAATGGCTCCAGGTGTGGAGAAGGATGACGTTCTGCTTTGTTAGTTTTTGTTTTAGAGCCCCAGCCTGTCCTTGAACTCACTATCTAATTGAAGTTTACTGTGAATTCTGCCATCCCAAGCGCTGGGATGACAGCTGTGCACCCCCACACCCACTTACCTCGGCACCTCTCTAGAGACTGAATATATACTGTTGCCATGCAAGGAGCAACTGGACTCCTCAGTTTTCACCTGTTGGGATGCAATCTTGTGTCCACCAAACACTCTCTCACAGAGATTGATAGCACCTCTACTTACAACAGCCCAAACTTGGAAGTCACTAAGATGCCCTTCAATAGGTAAATGCAAAAACACACTGCTATAGACAGTGGATTTTCTTTTTTCCTCTTTCTTTCTTTCTTTCTTTCTTTCTTTATTTTTTGTTTGTTTTTGTTCTTCAAGACAGGGTTTCTCTATGTAACAGCCCTGACCTTCCTGGAACACTCTTTGGAGACCAGGCAGGCCTCTAACTCACAGAGATCCACCTACCTCTGCGTCCCTAGTGCTGGGATTAAAGGCATGGGCCACCACAACCCAGTCAGACAGTGGAATTTTATGCAACGATAAACAAAAATGAGCTACAGAGCCATGAAAAGACACAGGAAGATTTGTAAACAGATAAGAGAAAGAAGTCAACTTGATAAGGCTTCATAGATGCCACTGTATGACATTCAAGGAAAGACAAAACTATCAAGACAACAAAAAGATCAGGGCAGAGCACAGCAGGCAATGCACATCTGTAATCCTACAACTTGGGATGCTGAGGCAGGTGTACCCCTGAAAGCTTGAGGTCAGTCTAGGCTACAACTGATCTCAAAAGAAAAAATCAGAACAAAACACAGAAAAGAGATCAGCGGCTGGCAGGAGACTGAGGGGGAGAAACAGGAATGAACAGGCAGAGAATTTTTATGAATGAATGAGAATTTTTATAGGGGTGAGACTATGCAGATGATGCCATCATGGAAAATGGTGTCATTGTGTTTGGCAAAACCCAAAGAATGTGCAATGCGCAGAATGAGCCCTGATGTATAATCAGCCAGGTATGCAAAAGCAGGGGGCCTGCCACAAGTCCAAGAGCAGCCTGGCGACACAAACGTTTCTAGGCAAGCTGGGGACTACATAGTGAGGCCCTGTCCCAAAAAATACGCAACAGAAAAACTGATGCTTTGATATTAGTGCCTCAGCCTTAACAAATACACTACACTGGCCAGATGTTAGCAACATTTGTGGTTTGGGGAGTGGGATGGTGGGGGACAAAATTCAAACTTTAACTCACTTCTCTGAATCTAAAACTAAAACTGCTCCTTAAAAAAGCAACTCAATGGGACCATACACAACCTTTACAGAGCATTACATTAAATGGCTCATAACGCCTGATACTTCAGCTCCAAGGGTGCCCTCTTCTGGCCTCCACAGGCACTGCACTCACATGCACACAGATTAGTGTGGGATTAGTGGATTCCGTGTCAGTCACAGTGATGTTATTTTGCCCCATATTTGTATCTTCAACGGGAAAGGGTTATCTTATATCATAGTGTCAGAGGCTTCAGTTCATGGTCCATGCCTCCTCATTCTGAGCCCTTGGTGAGGCTGCAGGAGGACGTGAAGGAGGCTGCCCACCAGGGACAGATGCCTCGCTGGTGGCATCTCCTCTGGAATGACAGTATAATGGCTACTAGGACTCACATTGGGGACAGTGCTCCCTGGCTTTGGGAATCCTCACAGAAATGCTCAGAGTGCACTTCACTAACCTCCCAGGTCCTCCTGGACCTAATAGAGCTGTGGAGCAAGCTGGTGTGATTTGTTTAAACAGCAGGTTTGGATCAGGGTCACTGGTGACACTAACACTATAAGTAGGGTTTCTCAGAAACAGAACATTAATTTTCTCTCAAAGCATCCCCTGCTAAACTGAAGACATGCTCAGTTGGTAAGGTGTCTGCCATACTTGAGGACCTGAGTTTGGGTCCCCAGCACCGACATAAAGAGCTGGACATGATATCATGTGTCTGTTACCCCAAGGCTGAAGAAGAGGAGGGTCCCTGGGCTCACTGGTCATCCACTGTGGATAGTCTGAGAGCTCCAGATTCCAAGAGAGATCCTGTCTCAAAAATAAGGTGGGGAGCAATAGAGAAAGACCCCAGAAATTGACCTCTGAGACACACACACACACACACACACACACACACACACACACACACACACGGACACGGACACGGACACACACACACACACGCCCCTGCAGGTTGCTGATTTACCAGTCACAAAGAGGAAAAGGTATCTGTATGAAGGAGTTAGATCATATCCTTTAAACTGAGCCCCAGCTTCTTAACCTGGAGGTTGTGACCCCCATAGAGAAAACTGAATGTGGAGTTGTGAAAAATTGAACAAGAAAGGTCTGCGAGTGAGTAAAACCAAACTTACCTCAAAATCAAACCTGTAATGAATCCAAGGTGTTATTGCCTCAGACACCTTTGCTGCAGCCTCAGGTCTGAACACCGGACAGGTACACTTTGTGCTGTTCACACCCATCACACCACACACCAGCCAGTGCTGCCCCAATCGCCTCAGCTCAGATTCAAGACTACTATATGTTATGAATCTCCATGTTATCACTGCATACACAAAGTTTTCTGGTTTTAGAGAATCGCAAGTTTAATCATAAACACAAAGACTTCGTATTTCCCTGCCTCCATTCCTCGGCATGTGAGTTTTACAGTGTGTCTCTGGGATGGATTCGAATGTTTGACTTGAAAGTTACTGTTTGCCGTCTGGAGGATGGTGCAGTTAGTAAGCTGATTGCCCCACAAGCATGAGGACTGAGTTTGATCATCAGCACCCATGTGAAAAGCAGCTGGTTCAGTGACATGTACTTGTAAATCTGGCACCTGAGAGGCAGAGGCAGGCAGATCCCTGATGCTCACTGGCCAACCAGCTTAGCCAACCATTAAGGTCAGCCAGAGACTGTCGAAAAGCAAGGTGGATGGCTCCTAAGTAATGACACTCAGTGTAGTCCTCTGGCCTCTACACACACACACACTTGCACACCCAACCCATCTGCATTTGTACACATACAAACACACATACAAAAATTCCTTTTAGAGCTGACTTGTGTTTTATTTAAAAACAAAGATTAAATTTATTAGAAAGAATATGCTTAATATGGAAACAATTTATACTTTAACAAATACTTAAAATTAAAAATCATTAAATGGATTTTGGTGGAATTAGAACACTTTCTAGGAATGTTTGAAACAACCCTAAAAAATACTTTTGCCATTTTGCAGTATTCGAAGTGGTGATCTCAGCATTGCTTATAAAATCAAAATATCTGTCAGCTCTGTAAACTGTTGAAGATGCTCTACATTCTGCAGTAGCAGATATCCAGCCAAGATTTATTATTGGTATTATTAGGTTTTGTTCTTTGGGAAAAGTTTCACTGTATAGCTTTGGCTGGCCTGAAATTCATTATGTAGACCAGGCTGGCCTAGAACTCACTCTGTAGACCAGGCTGGGCTGGAACTTGCAGCAATCCCCCTGCCTCTGCCTCCTGAGTGTTGGGATCACAGGTGTGCATGCTGTGCCCCGCTGAGAGTTGATTCTTTATGTAAAAATAAACACCTTAATCTCATTAGTGTGTAAATTTGCTTTCCTTTTTAATAAATGGAAAATTATATATATGTATATATATAATTACTTTAAAATAGATTCCTTTTTTAAATTAACATTTTATTTGATGTGTATGGGTGTTTTGCCTGCATGTATGTCTGTGTACCACACATGTGCAGATGCCTCCCAGACCAGAAGAGGGCATCAGATCTCCTGGAACTGGAGTCAGGCATTTGTGAGTCACCCTGTGG